AAAGGGACCTAAGGGGCAACATTTTCACGCAGAGGGTGGTGCGTATATGGAATGAGCTGCCAAAGGAAGTGGCGGAGGCTGGTACAATTACAGCATTTAAAAGGCAACTGGATGTGTATGAATAGGAAGGGTTTAGAGAGATAGGGACCAAATGCTGGCAAATGGGACTAGATTTATTTGGAATATCTGGTCGGCATCAACAAGTTGGACAAAGGGTCTATTTCCATGTTGTATATCTCTGATTCTATTTGTCAAGGTCCTTCATGTTTAGCTGGTTCATAAGTTTAAGCCACATGCGATCCATGATGATTTGGCAAATTGGATACAAAATTGGCTTGGTCATAAAAGACAGTGTGGTTGTGGGGGCTTTTTTTCCTAACTGAAGGTATGTGGCCAGTGGTATTCTGCAAGGGTCAGTGCTGGGACTTCTGTGGTTTGTAATACGTATAAATGATTTGGATGAAAATGTAGGTAGTCTGATTAGTAAATTTGCAGGTGACACAAATTGGTGGGGTTGTGGATAGAAAGGAAGATTGCCAAAGAATGCAGCAAGATGTAGGTCAGTTGGAAAGTTGGGTGGAAAAGTGGCAGTTGGAGTTTAATCCACATAAGTGTGAGGTGATGCATTTTTGGGACGTTTAATACAAGAGGAAGTTATACAGTAAATGGCAGGACCCTTAAGAGCACTGATATACAGAGTGGTCTTTGGGTATGATTGTACAGCTCCCTGAAATAGGCAACACAAGTAGATAAAGTGGTAAAGAAGGCATACAGCATTCATTGGCAAGTCATGTTGCAGCTCTGTAAGACTTTAGTTGGGCCACACCTGGTGTATTGTGCGTAGTTCTGGTTGCTATACTATAGAGAGGATGTGGGTGTTTTAGAAATTGTGCAAAAGATGTTTAACTGGATGATGCCTAGATTAGAGTGTATTAGTTATAAGGAGAGATTTGTTTTTGTTACAGCTTTGGAGGCTGAGGGGCGAGCTGAAAGAAGTACATGAAATTATTAGAGGCATGGTAGGATTCATAATCGAGTCTTTTTCCCAAGGTGGAAATGTCAACTACTTGGGGGCATGGGTTTAAGGTGCAAAGGGGAAAGTTTAATGGAGATGGTGCGAGTTAAGCTTTTTACACAGATGGTGGTTAGTGCCTCAAATATGGTGCTAGTGTAGGTGGTAGAAGCAGATACAAAAGTAACATTCAAGAAAGTCCATATCCCACTATTCCCTGCCCTATATGCAGATAGATGGGACTCGTTGAGAATGGCTTCATGGTTGGCACGATATTATGGGCTGAAAGCCCTGTTCCTGTGCTGTACTATTTTATGTTCCAAACCCAATGCGTGGTCGTTGCCATTTATGTACTTCCAAATCTATAGATACAAGCATGGAATGGCATTTTTTTCATTTTTATTCTTTTTATCTATCAACTGATGTTACTTCAAGGCAAGCTAATCTGAAAGATAGTGTGGATTCTCCATGTTAAGCAAGGACCTAATTATACTGTGGCTACCAGTCTCAGACTGTTCTATGAACAGTAATCACAAATTACATTTGTAGTTATTGTTTCTGTCTGCATGGATATAATGTATGCTGGGAACTGTACTGAGTAGTTGCGTCGCATCTGTGAAGTATTAAATTGTGTAACTAAGAGCAGGTCATCAAGTCATTTCAATAAGAGTAATGGGATGTGTTGACTTCTAAGATATGCAAGGTTAACATAGAATTCACAAGAATCATACAGTGCAGGATGAACACGTATGGATCATCTCTGCTGATTGTTTGAAAAATCTACCCAATTAGTTCCACACCCCATTTTCCTATCCCCTCCCTGTCTTTGCAGATTAGATCATAGAAATGCACAGCACAGAAACAGACCCTTTGGTCCAACTCGTCCATGCCAGCCAGATATTCTGAATTAATCTAGTCCCATTTGCCAACTTTCCTGCTCCTTTGCTGCTTGGCCTGCTGTGTTCCTAAAGCATCTGCAGTTCTTGCTATCTCCGTGTTGGATTTGTGCTGCTTTTTTTGTGTAAAGGACATACCTGGGCAATTTTCCACATTGTCAGAACGATGCCATTGTTGAAGCTTGGCGGGGGGAACGAGAAGTTCTGGAGCCCAAGTCTTCAGTACTATTTCTGGAATATTGTTAGAGCCCATAGTCTTTGCAGTATCCAGTGTCTGCAATATTTATTGATATCACATTGAGTGAATCGAATTGGCTGAAGACTAGCATCTGTGATGCTGGGACCACAGGAGGAGGCTGAGGTGGATCATCCACTTGGCACTTCTGGCTGAAGGTTGCTGTGAAAGCTTCAGCTACAAACGGCAACATGCAAGATAAATAGTGTGAAAGCAGCAAAGCATTAGTCAGCTTAGATCCCACATCAGTCAATCAGAGCTAAGCTCTAAAGACATGCCACATTGAGTTGAGTGGTGGCAGATAACTGAACTGTGAAGAAGATGAGAAGACAGTCTAGTATCCCCTTCCTTAGTGATTGGGGAACCTAGCGCATCAGTATGAAGTCAATTGTTTTCAGGTAGAAGTGCTAGGTGAATGATAACTTTGGTCTCCCATTGAATGCAATCTTCAATCAATTCTGTTTACTCCACGGGATATCAGCATACAACTGAAATCACTGGATACTGTAAAGGCTATAGGCCTGACAATATTTCGACATTAGTATTGAAGACTTGTGCCTCAGAGCTAACTATAGGGCATACCCAAGCTGTTTCAGTGCAGCTACAGTACTGGTGCTTAACCAACAACATGAAAAATTACTGGGTATGTTCTGATCTCAAAAAGCAGAAAATCCAACATGACTGATTAGCACATTGGTCTCTTGAACCCCAGAAAAATGATGGAATATGTCATCAAACTTATCAAGTAGCATATATTCAGCACTAATCTGCTTATTGACACACAATTCGGGTTCAATCGTGCACACTCAGCTCATGATCTAATTACAGTCTTGAGCCAAGTGTCCACAAAAGAACTGAACTCCAGAGATGATGCCAAAGTATCTGTCCTTTACATCAAAGCATCATTTGACAGAATATGACATCAAGGAGCCAGAGAAAAACTGGAGTTGTGGTTGGTTGGCTCACAGAGCTGGTTCATTACTTTTCCACAGACGTTTCATTACCCTGCTGGGTAACATCATCAGTGCAGCCTCCGAAGCGCTGTTGTGTTTTCCCGCCTGTTATTTGAACTCTGGAGTCCATTGAGCTGGATTACCTCACTACCGGTTTTCCTTCACCAAGGAGTGTATATGGGCTCGAGCTCTGTGTTTGTTGATGGCATTCTTCGTGGAGTACCAGGCTTCTAGGAATTCCCATGCTTGTCTCTGCTTTGCTTGTCCCAGGATCTGGAGTAAATGAAAATGGAGCGAGGAGTTGAGTGCTGTCCACTGGTGGAGTCATACCTTAAAAGTTAAGATGGTTTTAGCAGTTGGAGGCCAATGAAGGACATCACTGTGAAATAGATCACCTGGGTAGTATCCTAGGCCCAACCATTTTTAGCTGTTTAATCACTGACTGCCCCACTTTTGCAAAGTTAGACTGGGGATATTTGCTGTTGATTGCATTGTGTTCAGTACCATTCATCATTCCTCAGGTCTGTACTGAAACATCCTGTGTCCATATTCAGCAAGACCTTGACAGCATACAGGTTGGTGCTGAAAAATGCCAACTAACATCTGTATCACAATTGCTAAGCGATGACCATCTCTAACAAGCAAGAATCTTAACTATCTTCCCATGGCAGTCAATGGAATTACTACCATTGATTTCACCAGTATCAACGTTCTGACCAGAAACTGAAGTGGGCTAGCCATGTAAAAACTGTAGCTATGAGAGCAGGTCTTCGGCTGGAATTACTGCAGTATTATTTGCCTCCTTACATTACCAATGTCAAGGTATCAGTCAGGAATGTGATGGGATGCTGTCCAGTTGCCTGGATGAGTACAGCTTCAACAGCACTCTAAGCTTGACAACATCCAGGACAAAGTAACCAGCTTAAATGGCATGCATTTTAGCACCTTTGCATTTACTCCTTTCATCAGTAGTGCAAGGTGGCATTTGTGTATACCATATGCTAGATGCAGCAACATTAACTTGCCTTCAACAGTGCCTTCCAAACCTGGCATCCCTCCCCCTAGAAAGGTGAGGGTGGCAGATTCCTGTAATCCTAGCATCTGTACGTTAACAGAATAGAATAGTCTATTCTATTAACCTCCAAGTTGCACACCATCCCGACTTGGAACTATATCCTCTTCCTGTCACTGGATCAAATTCCTCGAACACTTTCCTAATGGCATTTGTGTACCTATGCCATATGGACTGAAACTGCAAAAAGGCAGCTCACTACCCCCCTCTGTGGTGCAATTATAGATAAGCAGTAAAGTTGTCATCGTCAGTGACATCTACATCCTGTGTAAGAATTTACAAAACAAAACTGTAATATCAATAAGGAAGTGTTTATCTAAAATGCCACAGCCATAATTGTTGTGAAGGCATTTATCTGCAGCATGTTGGTGTATTCATCTCTGTTTCCTATTCTCATCAACTTCATAGTTGATGAAAACATTTGTTTCTCACGTGATATCTAACAAACATACTGAGAGCTTCTGGAGCAAATTTGTGGCATGACTTCAGTTTGCAATGACCATTTCACGTGAAATAACTTCCCGATCATCACTACGTGACTAAGGAAAATGGTCTTCAAAACTGCGAGGAAAAACATGGACTAGAGTTCCTCCTGTAAAATTACTAGTGCATGTGTTCAAAATAACATTATTGTACTGCAGTAGAGGCCGAGGAGCAAATTGTACATTTCCTGCCTGATTCCTATCTTTTTTTTGGAAATTGAGACCTAAAAGAATGAAGGAAAATAACACAAATGGTTCTGAAATTAATTGTTCAAACTTCAGTTTCCACTATTCATTAAACCATAATGAAGTAAAATTACTATTTGTAATATTTGTGTTCTTTTCTATAGATTGGAATCCTAGAAAGTAACGGCGAGATCAAAGTTTTCACAGATCAGAATGTTAGTCCAGCAAAAAGTAAGTATTGATATTAGTTTGGTTATTAGTAACAATATTTAATATGCATTTCGCTTGATAAAATGCACATTCCATTTCTTTTAGTTGGAAGGTTCGAATATAATGAGTTCTGCAAGCTTAATTTGGCTTTGAAAAACTTGTTAGTTACAATGGGGTTCATTAACTGGTTCTGCCTTTTAATTGATAGAAGTAGGATGGGAGTATGATGAAATGGGGCTATCTAGTGCAGTATTGACAAACTGATACGTAAGGACTGGCTGCATTTTCTCTTCAATGAACAGATGATGTGATCCCAGACTTCTGCTAATTGTGCTCCATATCTAATCGAAAGATAATGTGCAGAATGGCCATATGTGGTTTTCTCCTCTCTCTC